AGTGGGATTAGATTGGGGATTAATGCAGGGCTATGGGGATCGAACAGGGGCAGTGGGATTAATTTGGGGATTGATGCAGGGCTATAGGGAGAGAGTGGGGCAGTGAGATAAATTTGGAGATTGTTTTCAGGGCAATGACTATTAATCCGCAATCTAATCCCACTGCCCCGTTCTCTCCCCAATCATCCCATATTGCAACTGAATACTGTATCCTCTTTAGTCACAGGAGAGGGCCCACAGGAGTGGAGAATGGCCAACGTTGTTCCTTTGTTTAAGAAGGGCAACAGGGATAACCTGGGAAATTACAGGCCAGTGAGCCTTACGGCAATGGAAGGGAAAGCAAGACCTTGAATGAGGTCCCACATGGCAGGCTGATACAAAAGGTGATGTCACATGGGATCCATGGTGAGCTGGTAAAATGGAGACAGAACTGGCTCAGTCACAGCAGACAGATTAGTGGTGGAAAGGTGCTTTTCTGACTGGAGATCTAAGACCAGTGATGTTCAGCAGACATCTGTGCTGGAACTCCTGTTGTTTATAAAATATATCAATGATTTGCAGGATAATGCTCTAATTAGTAAGTTTGCAGACAACGCAGAAAGTGGGGAAGCTGCAGATAATGAGGAGGATTGTCAGAGGATACCGCCAGATATAGATAGGCTGGAGACTTGGGTGGAGAAATGGCAGATAGAGTTTAATCTGGACAAACGTGATGTAGGTCTAATGCAAAGGGAACTACACAGCAAATGGCAGAAATGTAACCGGTTTGAGGGGTGACCCTATAGACGTTTATAAAATCATGAGGGATATAGATAGGTTTAATGGTAGGTGTCTTTTTCTGTACGATGGGGGATTTCAAGACCAGGAAGCCACATTACCAAAAGGATGTGGATGCTTTGGAGAGGGTGCAGAGGAGGTTCACCAGGATGTTGCCTGGTATGGAGGGCGCTACTTATGAAGAGAGGTTGAGTAGATTAGGAATTATTTACATTAGAAAGACGGAGGTTGAGGGGGGACCTGATTGAGGTCTACAAAATCATGAGGGGTATAGACAGGGTGGATAGCAAGAAACTTTTCCCCAGAGCGGGGGACTCAATTACTAGGGGTCATGATTTCAAGGTGAGAGGGGAAAAGTTTAAGGGAGATATGCGTGGAAAGTTCTTTACACAGGAGGGTGGTGGGTGCCTGGAACGCGTTGCCAGCGGAGGTGGTAGAGGCGGGCACAATAGCATCATTTAAGATGTATCTAGACAGATACATGAATGGGCAGGGAGCAGAGGGATACAGATCCTTGGAAAATAGGCGACAGGATTAAATAGAGGATCTGGATCGGCGCAGACTTGGAGGGCTGAAGGGCCTGTTCCTGTGCTGTAATTTTCTTTGTCCTTTTGTTCTTTGAAGCATATTTTTAAGGCGAGAGGAAAAAGATTTAAAAAAGACATGAGGGACAAATTTTTTTCCACAGAGTGGTTTGTGTGTGGAATGAACTTCCTGAGGAAGTAGTGGATATGGATACAGTTACAACATTTAAAAGACGTTTGGATAAGTAGTTGAACAGGAAAGATTTGGAGGGATACGGGCCTGGAGCAGGCAGGTGGGACTAGTTTAGTTTGGGATTAGGGTCAGCAGGACTGGTTGGACCGAAGGGCCTGTCTCCGTGCTGTTATGACCCGATAAGAAACTTGGTTTCTTTTCACTCGAATGTTGGAGATTGAGGGGGTGACCTGATAGATGTTGACAAAATTACGAGAGGCATGGATAGACTGGATAGTTGAAGTCTTTTTCTCAGGGTGGAAATGTCCATTACTAGGGTAGATGATGGCAAAAGGGGAAAGTTTAAAGGAGTTGAGAGGCAAGTTTTTTTTTTAAGAAATACACTAAGGGTGGTAAAGTGCCTGGAACATACCATCAGTGGTGAATAGAAGCAGTTACAACAGCAATGTTTAACAGACATCTTGACAGATACATAAACAAGCAGGGAATAGAGGGATGCAGACCACATGGAGGCAAAATGTTTTTAGTTCAGACAGGTGTCATGTGTTGGCACAGCCTTGGTGGGCCAAAGGGCCTGTTCCTGTGCTGTACTGTTCTCTGTTCCCTTCTCCTTCAAAAATGTCATAAGCCATTCTCTCCGTTAAAGCTCCAATAGGTCTCTATTAATAATAACCCCTCTCTTATCCATTTCCAGCGTGCTTCGACCTAGACGCGAGGGGTCCCAGGTGGGAGGTGGGGACAGACAGTGAGCAAGATGGGGACACAGAGAACGAGGGACAGAAAGATAGACAGGGATAGAGAATACAGTCAGGATGTGATGAATCTGACAACGCAGTCAGCACTTAACCTGTAAAAGATTAAATCACATGGATATTCTGAATGGTGTTTCAAAGAGTAGAGTGAGCAGTAAGTGAAAGCTGCCTCCGGGAAACGGGACTGTGATGGAAACGGTGTATGGTTGATATGGCTGGATGGTTTACAAGGAGCTCACCGAGTTCTCTCACCCGGATACCTCTGTGCATTTGCTCTCCCACAGGCCTGAAGTCCCCTCCTACAGAGATGCGAGCGACTGAGGTTACCACCTTTATAGGAGAGGTGTTACACTCTCATTCTCAGGCTAATAGCTATCACTAGGGATACCATCTCATTGCTGCTTGTAGGATCTTGCTGTGCAC